CACCAGCAATATATCTGAAGTTCAAACATCTAGATACAAGATTCGTTACTATATTTTCTAAAAATTAAACAACGATAACTAACTTGATCCACAACGGTTCCTGGGCGGCAGTTTCCCTTTTGATCAGCATCATTTCTGTTTACCGGCACGAACCTAATAATAATTAGGACAGATTTTTAATTAATAGATATTATGAAATTATTCATAATTTTCAAGCAATTTGTCTACCTAGTGTGATGTTTCTTTTGAGCAACAATGAACGTCAACAGAGGAGCCTTTCCTTGCTCATACAATTTTTCGAATGCTCTCTTTATAGCAATAACTTCTTTTTTTACGACACCAGAAAATTGGCCTTCGCTAACACCGTCACGATAGAAAATCATTCTATGAGGTAGACAACCATTATTTTTGTTACTGAAGATCTGAAGTAATTCTGTGGCCATTTCATCTAACTTTTCTATCGTTTCGTTTCGTCTTTCTTCGTTAACGCTGACTTGACCGCAGTATGTTGTGCCATTAACATCCATCGAAGCACAGACAGCAGCAATGCTCGGTTGCATTGTTTGACCAGGGCCAGGGTGTGAAATATCAGCGCCCATGATCATTGTCTTTAAAGTTGAAAAAAAAAAACATATATATATATAAATAAATAAATAAAAATATTAAAAAAAAATTGGGAAAATTTACTTACAGGAATTTTTATATTGGTTACATATTCTAATTGGCCTTCGACAAGTGTTGAGTTACGTCCACCCAATTTAGCATTCACTTTCAGAGCAATATTATTCCAACAAGCCTTATTATTAGGTCTCCTCAATTTATCGGAGAGGATGCATTGTGTCGGAATGCCAAGTTCGGTATCGGAAATTCGTTTAATTTTTCCGTAAATATCGCACGATTTCTTTGGGATAATGATGATAATGATTTGCACCTGTTGATTCCTGTCGAGCCGGGCCTTTGCATAAGCCATCCCCATTTCCTACAACAAGCAGAAAGAGTAATTTATTATTATTAATGTAATAATTAAGCATGAATTCGTCATAATGAAAGATAATTACTTTTCTAAAGTCTCCTTGTATATTTCCATACTCGATTGCAGGATCCGTTTGCACGTCCTATATACAAAGTTAATTAGATATAATTATAAGTTAATTAGATGTAATTATACATAAGTTAACATACTTTAAAATGGCAGATATTTTTACATACCATTCCTCTTTCGATCAGAGTAGTCTTAAACTCTCTAACGAAACCTTTGATCTGATTGTTAGCGCGTTGATCCAACACAAGAATAGACCAGTTGACTAAAGTCCTAGTCTATTGACATTAAAATGAAAAATTCATTAATATTAATAAACACGAAAAAAGACAAAATATATTTATAACACATACTCTAACAAAAATTTTGTTCATCAGGTTCCAGCGGCCATTTTGAGGTACGAATTCATCTCTTGCATACTTCACTTTTGGAGTTTCTAGAACTCTTCCTAAAAATCCAAAACAAATAATTATAGTGATAGTAAATAAAATTATAATGTAATGGTAAATACGAATAAAATTACAACAAGCAATCATACATACCTTCAATGACCATCATTTTTGAGTCAACTTCTATGCCAAAATCTTTAAGATTTTCATCATTTTTATGATTGAAAACATGATGAATACCTTCTTCTATTTGATGAAAGCGATCTTGAGGGGGTAAAGCCGTCTTTCTTATCATATCCGCTCTAGCTCTATCACTGAGGGTTTTTTCGTATCGTTGACCTATGAAAACATTTTTAAAAAATTAAAAATTAAAGATTATACTGTATTTTGTGACCATTTACATAAATAGTAATATAAAATATAGTAATAATAGTAATAATAGTAATATAGTAATATAGTAATATAGTAATAATAGTAATAATAGTAATATAGTAATATAGTAATATAGTAATAATAGTAATAATACTTACTATTTAATATCTCGCATACTTCAAGGGGAATATAATTCTTCTTTTTGTCCATGATACAAGGTAGAGATTTGAATTCGAGTCTGCGATTGTAATTTTTATCAAAGTATTCGGCAACGGACATATCTCGACCTTCTTTTTCATTTTTGAAGTAAAGATCGTCCGCAGCTTTAGAAGAGAGTCGCTCCACCTTAATTACCGGTTTACGATCACCACGATGTGTAACTCGAACTTTGATGCCTTTAAAAGCCTAGGAAAATAAACCGCAAAATGTAAAAAAAAAAAAAAAAAGTCACAAATGCTCTCAAATGAAAATAATTCATAACTTACACGTTCAAGTTCGCGCATCTCATAATCATTAATTCCTCGTCTGAGGTCGTTAACATCATGCTTGTTTAAAATTTGTCGACAAAACTCGATCAGCGATACTGCCGGATAAAAAAGGCCAGCACATACGTCGACATTCACCAACATATTATCTAATAATAACGCGAAAAAAAATTTTTTTTTTTACAATATTCATTATATTATATTATATTATAGAGAATAATAAAAATTTACATACCCCATCCTGGTCTCATAGATTGACAAAATCCGATTTTCAATTCGATACCACCAGTCAAAATGATAGGCCTTTCATTAAAGTCATCTGGGAAAATTCCTTGCTTCACGACAGCAAAATTTTTTCTTGGACCATAATTCAACACGGTGTTAAGAATCGTAATACAAGTTGGGATTTGACTTGTCATTATACATTTTTCTTTAAGGTATTCGATGAGTCGATCCATTTCTATCTTTTCTATCTTACGGATTGTCACGAGAAACTTTTTTTCTTTCATTCGGCCTTCAGCTGGTAATGATATCTAAATAAAAATATATATAGTATCTTATGAAAATAGCAAAGGTCGAGGAAGATGTGTTTTTTTCACACCTGAATGGAAAATTCTTTGTCATCACCGATTGGTAAGGGAACACATGTATAGATAGCGCTATTTCCATCAAATACAGAACTCGTGTTTCCAAAAGTACCCTGAGAAGCCAACTGAGAAAAAAGCTTTGTTTTCAAAGGAGTCTTTGCATCAGGTACCACGACAAAGCCATAATGAAGCAAGGCAGTGTTGGGAAGCTTTTTTTTATGACAAAATCCAACAATAAATAACATCATCGCATGCCAGTTTTAAATCAAACCCAAATTCAATAAATTTACATACCGAACGAACCCTCAAATAGTTAGTTCTAACACTAACTTTTCTTCCAGCGGTTCCAACACTTGGACGTTCAGACGGCTCAGATAATTTTAGTTCTAATGCATATTGCGCGTCAATATTTTTTTTCTTCTTCACGTCGTCTTTGTCAGTTGGGCTAGGAGGACGCTTTGTGGCAATTGGAGTTAAAGACATCGGAAAAGAAGTTAACAAGGATTTGGGAAAAGATATATTAAGAGAAATTTGAAAATTACAAGAGTAAAAAAAGAAAAAAAAAGAAACAATTGTCTTTTTATATTCCTTTTGTTTTTTTATATTCCTTTAACGAACCGTACACACTTTGTATTCATCGAATGACATGTTAAGTAGTCAAAAAACGAATGATTAATGAATTCCATCCATGTCATGACTGACGTGAACGATCTTTTTAATAATAGAATAAGATTTAATCTTTGCAATTATGAAAGGCATTTCATGAACTGACGTGTACACCAATGTTTGCTCATTAAATAATTAAATGAAGCTTTGTATTTGTTAATAGATCGATTAACAATAGAATGACATGTACAAATAATCACTTACAATTATGAAAACCTTTGGCTAAAAAAAAAACCTAATGAACTAGAAGCCTACAATATAAAACAAGATGTATGTTCTATGAAAACTGATTTTTACTTTTTCAATAATATTATTTTCAAATCTGAGCATCAAATAACGTCAATCTTTGATATCTTTGACCATCGCATTATATTCCTTTCCCACATTACTTGACTACACAAACGAGTTGATCGAGGGCCCTTCGATCGCTTGTGTCATTCTAATTTTAGGAGCCCGATCTAATGGTACTGATAGATTGTACTGAATGAATTTCCTAATAAGCATGATTTCATCAATTTTTTAAATATCATATGGAAGTTACCTTCCATTAATATCACTGTATAAAACAAAGCCACCCACAAAAACACGTGTATTTATTATTTAAATTATTTTATTATCGTTATGTATATTTCTATTACCTCATTCCACAGTTTAGAACTTTCGATTAAGTTCAAAACGTGTCGTACGACAATGGAAGTTTTTTTTTTTTTTTACTAAGTAGGGAAGTGGTACAGTATGAAATTAATCGATTGCCAAAGATAAAAATAGCCGTACTATAAATAAGTGTGTACTGCGCCACAGATTGGAAATTGACCCGTGACTTTTTTTTATTTTTTATTTTTTTTGTGATCAATTACAGGTATTTCTCTCCGCTTACAAAACAATCTCTGAAATAACGAATTACCCCTAATATTATATATCAATATAAAAAAAAGACACAAGTGCGTAAAAATAGTCCAATTAAGCGCATCCCACAAATTTCTATCTTATGGGACACTTGCGAGATTGTGCGGTGCGACTCGATAATGGAAATCGAGTCACAAAAAAATTTTCTTCTAATAAATTGACTGTCAAATTAAATGCATATTGCAAATAAGTTTCGTGTCAAGTCTATTAATATTATTTTTTGTAATTGAGGCACAAGGCACAAAAAAAAAAAAAAGGAAAAATTTAGAATGTTTTGTTTGGGACGTACGTAGATACTATATAAATTGACGGTTTCGAGGAACGGTTATAATTAAACTCATTTACTTATATTAATTGCATAATGCACTTTTAGTGATTTCTTAGTCTGGTAACCTTGTAGCATATATTCAAAAGTTTAAATGTTTTGTTTATAAATAACTTAAGTCATAAAATTCATTAGGGATAAATATCAAGTTTTAACTGGATTTTTGACATAAAGAATGTGTATATTTTACATTTTTTTTGCTTTAATCTTTCTTGGAATGATGAGCGAAAAACGTGGATCCAAAGTTAGAAAAGGGTAAGGACTGACAACGGAGTTGGACAGCGTGATGAAATAACAGTAAGCCGAAAGCTGATAAAGTTTTAAGTCAATAAAATAAAAAGGAAATAAAAAGGAATTGACAGATTTTATATTTTTTTCCCTCGAATGTGGCTTGTCAACAAATAAGGCCATAAATGTCGGCATATCCAATTTGTCGAAAAATTTTGTATTATGTAATGACAAAAACTGCAAAGCGTGTTTTGTTAAGTCATTGAAAGAGCATAATAAGTTTAGTATGTTTTGTCAATCAATGGTTACAATATCCACCCAATTAGCCATATTATAATGATCAAAAAATTCTTTATTTGTTTTTATTAGTTTTTATTGAGCATTTCGACGATAAACGCAAGCATTTCGAAAATAGCATTTTTACTATGTTGAATTATAAATCGGAAAAAATAAAATTCTCGGATTTTAATTTTGAAACTATAATTTTCGCGAAAATGTCATTGACATGTATGCTTATTTACATTTCATAGCACAAATTTAAGCATATCCGCATATTAATTCGGCCGAACATTCTTAATTATTATCTTGCATCGATTGGCAAAAAAAAAAAAATACAAGATTAAAATTTTGCATTACTATGGCTTGTGGTGGCTCACTCATGAGACTCAAAACAAATTACGCGATAACAGAATTGTCACGTGATTACGGCATTTTGCGATACTGGCAATTTAATAAAAACACCTATTTTTAATTTAATTCTATACAGAATTTATCAATTAAAAAAACGCATATAGGTATCGTACATTCGTACATTCGTACATACGTACGTACGTACGTACGTACGTACCCGGTATGCATATACATAATCTAAAAATAAATCTAGATATCTCAATTCTAAAAATAAACATCAATATAACTTATTAAGCATACAAAATCTAATAATCTCTTGGCCAAATCTAATCTGGTTTCAATTATCCCGTTTTTTTCGTTAGACTCGGCTATTTTTTACTATAACTAGATATTCTGGCTAACAATTAAATAAGTTTCTAACTAAAATATATGCAAATTTTCTTTCTTGCAATGTATCAGAATATTGTGCAAATATACTTATTGTTTTATTTAGATGCGTCAAGTTGTAATGCTTATACAATCGGTTCCTTAATGCAAGATGATTTTGATTGATTTAAATCAGGTGACATTTACTATCTAAACATTTGTATGTTTGTATGCGACGTTTAGACATATTAAATCATAAATATCACCTTATTTAAATCAATAAAACTCTCTATTTATAAATGCGTCTCACCAATAACACATAAATTCCTTTCTTTATATTACGTTTATGGTCATTTCCGAGATATCCGAATGTATAACGATAATTACGTATGATACTCAAAAATATATATTTTGATAACTTCAATTTTTATTTCAATATTATATATATAGATTAATAATGTTACAAATCTTTTGTATAAAAGGTTATTAAATGCTAATCAAATTTTATAGAATGATTACTAGAAATAATCTGAATTTTAAAAAATCTTATTACAATTGTTGACTACGTAATAATTTATACAGTATAATTTTTGAAGAAAATTTCTTAGTTTACATACATACACATAGTGTATATGCGTACATACACGGTATTAATTAATAATTGTCGCAGATCATAATGAAATCGGATTAAAATGAAATGAAGGGTTTCTATTTGAGCTTCTAAAACCCACTTATACTTGTTTATTATAAAATCTGCTTCAAAACCCTAATCCTAACTCTAAAAAATGCTAAAAAAAATGCACCCCAAAAATTTGCATATTTTGGTGGCTTGTCTATTTTACACTATCTCTCATTTCATTTTAATCTGATTTCATTTTAATCTGCCACAGTAATTATAAGAGTAAGTTGTGGTGTAATAGCGATAGTTATCGGCAAATTGTTTTTGTTACACAAAAATAATCAGATCATGGGACCTAAATTTAGCCAATCAGATTGTTTAAAGCGTACAGACGGACAGACATTTACAATTTTAATAGTATAGATTTAACTGAGTGTTATAAAAACTAAATTAAGTATGCTGGCCAATTTCATCTCTCTTTATTACTAAATTTAGAATATATAAAATACTCGGATGGATCATTTTCAATAAAATTTCAGATTCTGACTATATGGATATAAAGATACATACAATTTAAAATAACATCAAATGAACAAATTTCATAATTCTTTAAAAATTACTCGAGTTATCAACTTTTATCGTTAAATCTTAGTATACTCATTATCATCATCATCGTCGTAGTCCTCTCGATAAATAATTTCACGTGTATGATCTGATTCATCAGGACTTTCTTGTTCAATTTCATTACTATTATAGCTTTTACTATCAAGTTCTTCTGATGATTCATTATCATAACGTTCTCCAACCATCGTATCACGCTGAATAACCTCTTTTTGTTGTTGGTAAGTTATATCATTGGTTTGATTTTCATAATCTTCATAGTCAAATATATAATTTTGCTCAATGTCAGATGGTCCATCGGAGGAATATGCGATGTCATTGTCATCATGGATATTGTATTTACGTAATAAATTAAATATTACTGGGAATACTTTATGATTTATATCCGATGCCCAAATAAAGTCTTAAAAAAAAAAAAAAAAAAAAGAAAATTTAGCATGATTGTCACCAAAAAATAATTGATTCATCATTCTCTTAATATTACTTTTAATAACCTTACCCAAATGCTCGTATTCCGGAATTTCTCTAACAAGTACAGGCTTAGGAATTTGTTCTAACAACATAGTTATATCCAATAAACTGTCACAGCCTCCATAAAATACTGCAATGGGTGTAGTAATTTGTTGCGTTGGAAACCTTTGACAAGATTTACCGAATGATGTTGTTGTATATGAATATGTGGGTAGTTCATCGTACATTTGAAAATTATGAGATCTGACAATTTGGAACCAGTGCTTAAAATTTGTTAATTAATATGTTAAATAATATTTACATAAAGATTAGTATACTTATATCCTCAGTTAAAATAATAATAATAATAATAATATATATATATATAGATGAATTACATACCACAACACTTTTGACACTGCTACAACTATACAAATGATAATAACCAATAGCCTTTTGAACTTCACTAATATTTTCACAACTCCATCCAAATAAAAACTTTAATGCAAAATCTACTATTTTTGTAAATATAGGAGGTGACAATACTCGTTGCCAAAATAATGCCATTGTTAATATTGCTTTACGACCAAAGAATAAGTAGATTATATTTGGCGAAACTTTTATAAATGCATTTACTATAGAATTATTAAGGCCTGTTCGATTTAGAATATTATTTGAATGTGAAATGTGTTTTATGAAGGGTTGTTAGGAAGATTATGAGTAAACAATACTTTTAATAGTAATATTCTAATGTAATAGCTCTAAATATAGCTTTACATATAAATTATAGACACACCTTTGGGGCTTGTTGCCGGAGCCAGAGCAATGAATAAATTAATCTTACTGTTGATCTTTGGATTTATTGACAATGCCGCAAAAGCTTGCGCAGTTCCTTGAGAAAAGCCAATATATGACAAAGATGGTGCACCTGTTGTTTCTAATATGTACTATATAAATATTAACTTTTAGAATTACTTCTTTACAATATACATTAAAGAACCTCATCTATATCAAAATAAAAGATTTAAAATAAGGCATACATTAATGGTATCTGGCAAATCATAAAGAGCAAATTCATCCATTGAAAAATTCCAAAATTTACGTCCGCTTGGATCATATTTTAAGTGTTTCATCGAATACTTGTTTCCTCGAGAATTACCGAACCATACATCATACCTTATAATTAGAAAATTTTAATTCTATTATTAATTATCTATATAAAAATTTCTTTGACTTACCCAGCGTCAGCTAGTAAACAACATAATCTATTCTCGTATTCATAATTACAAACCCAAATTTCACTACAAGTCATTAACCCATGATAAAACAACACAACAGGTTTAACAAAGTTACGTCTTTCGTTTGGTTCGCTGACTGTTTCTCTACTGTTCATAGATTTATTAGAATAAGTCGATGAAGAAGAAACATCAGCGGATTTCTGTGTATTAGTCATGTGTGATAGCCCTGCACTACTTGAATTCTCATCACTATGAAACAATCCGTCATGATCTCTGTCAGGGTGTCGAATTGTATTTAATGAAATACCACATCTTCTGAATACGGATTCTATAGATTCATGTTGAATTTCATTATCGTTATCATTATGAGATATATGAACAAGTTCGTCATCATCAGGAGTTATTCTTCTGTGAGGAATACGCTGAATTCCCAAAATATAATTATCCTGAGTTCTAACTATATGCTCTTCAACTGGATATCCCCTGTTTGTTGTTAAATATTGTGATTGATGGAAGTAAAAGTAATGGAATAACAACAGTAGTTGGATGAAATTTAGTTACCAATAATTAACTAATTCTTTGAAATTATCGATACGTTGAAGTAACTTTACAGATGTTGTTCTTTCATCTTTGTAGACTTTTGAGAACAATCTTAAATTTACAGCATTTATGCAAAAAAAAAAAAAAAAAAAGCATTAATACGATTAAAATAAAACTTACCAATTGATTTTATATTTTTATTTATTGATCTTTAGTTACCTTTGACTCCCATCCTGCAGATATTTTACGACAACACTTGGTAGAAAAAACGTAACCACTCTTAATAATCTTTCCAAAATTAAAAATATCAAACCGATGATTAAGGCTTGATACTCTGAATAGTTTAGGCGGCCTACAATTGGAAACATTGGAAACACCATCTTTCTTTTGAGTATACGTATTAAACATATAATGTATCGATATCTTTATTTTTAACCCAAAATATTAATCATTGCTGCAAGATGAAAACTTTCACGCCAAATTGAAGAGATGAGCGTGTCATGGGAAAGCATATGGTTATATAATAATCATCGGTAAGACAAGTAACTTTCTCGATTTACTTATTTGTGCAATTAACAAATCATATGATCATATGGATATTCTTAGAGATTCAGACTCGTAACTTTAAAGAAATAAATAATCCACTCGTTAGTACTAGTAAAATCATAGGTATAAGATCACACAAAGATAATTAATTGGATCTCATAATCCAGTCAAATCAATTTTGTGAAATTTGTTTCATGTTATAAAAACCTTAAGTGAGTTCTTTTGAGAATCGAATAATATAGTCGACTCAAGTATAGATCATTAGGACTTTTGTTAAAATTGCACTTAGAAAGATGCATTGAGTGAATAAAATCTATATTATCCAGTACTATATACTCTATATATTTATTTAAAGCTGATGTTGCCTCTGTATTTGCATGACCTAAAACGTTAATTTTTACGATTGGATAATATTTTTTATCTTAGTTTGTTTTGGATGCAAGGTCGTTCTCAATGCCTATCACTCATTAAATCATGTATATCTTCATTGAATTTCTTAACATTTGACTTATCTTTTTATTATCGATACTATAATGGTTATTATAATTCATACCTCTTGAATAGATAATGAATGATAAACGTGTTACATATGAATTATACGCTCGAAACTTTGAGTACTATAAATTTGTTTTTAAACACAATTACGTATCATAAAGTGAGCGCTGTCGAGTGAAACCTGTCATCGGGCTTTCAATTATATTTTATGTCTAGTTGTTCTCTGTAGAGATGGGCAAGGTAATGATGTAAGTAAATAGTTACTTATTTTTTTACCCAATACTTACACATACATGTTGTTACTAATTATTCCCTATGATGAATTATTATTACTTATATAGCACGTTTTACAAAGCTATCTGGAAAGCAATTCTAAACTCAATAATTTGCTGATCAGGTTAAGTTTTTGCTTATATCACGTAAAAAATGATAAGAAATAATTGGAAATAATAAATAATAATCGTTAACTAAACTTGCCCATCTCTAGTTCCTTGAATGCCGTCTAGGGAAAATTTATCATCGGGATTTCAATAATATAATCAAAAGTCCGAGAACAAATTGGACACCAAATATAATTGAAAGCCCGATGACAGGTTTTCCCTTGACAGCACTCAAATAAAACTACAGACATTATGGTCGATGCATTTCAAAGTTTATATATCGAGATTGTTTTAATTACTGTTACTACAGTGCAGACAACCTAGTCCCGACAAATAAATTTGACTAACTTCAAAATGCTAACCCTTGTTCATTAAAAACAATAAACAAAAAATCTCTTCATAGAGCATTAAACCATGCAAGCTAACATCTTGGTGGTCTTAAAATTTTTTTTAAATTTATTTTTAATAAAATAGTAGAGAATTAAAGTCGAGGCAATTTTGTAACTAAATAAGCAATTTGGCCGCTTAAAATATACTATTAAACAAGCAAATTTGGCCATTTTTTACGCTAAATTTGGTCGCTCTATATGTTAAATCTGGCTACTCTATATATTAAATTGACTACGTTAAATTAATAATTTGGCCATTTTATGTCAAAATTTCAAATTTGGCCGTATCATACATATAAATTTTAAATTTTAAATTTGGCCGCATTTGTTGCATAACGTCAAAATAATAGTGTAAAATACATGGGCGTACTTACGTTTTGTAAATTCATGTAATTGTGTAATTATTCACAAAAAATTTGTTAGCATCTTATTTTTTTATCCAAATTATATGTATATACCTTAACTACCTGAAATTTTAATTAAAACCAAAATTTTTTTATACTTGTAATAAATATTTATTAATAAACAAATTAAAATAAAATAAAATAATAAAATGGTTTAAAATAGAAAATAACCTTGTGGGATATATTAGTTATTGTTGGGGATGATGCTGAAATTGTCCGAGGCTGAAAATTTGGGGTCTCAATTTAGATCCATAAAATCTACGTACGTACGTACGTACGTACATATTAATATTTTTGCGCCGTTCACTGAGGTAATGTAAGGTAATGCTGTAATGTAACCAGGCCTTCCTATAATATCATATGTATAGGCTGATGTTGCGTCGGTATAATTTAGGGTATATTGCTGACTGATTAATTATAGTGTATTACTATTAGTATAATATTGTAAATATACAGCATCGGTATGATACATTCTTTTTTTTATTTTTTCATAAACCAAAATGGAAAGAGAAGACTTAACAGAAGAGCGATTAGAAAAAGATATTAATCAAATTGTTGATGATTTTAATCAATTAAATTTTATTGATTGTCAAAAATTGGCAGACGAGAACGATTCAGATGGAATGTACTGGCTTGGATATTGTTACGAATATGGAATTGGAGTTGAAAAGGACGTAAACAATGCATTTATTCATTATCAAAAGTCAGCAGAAATGAACAATTCTAACGGAATGTATCAAGTTGGCTATTGCTATTATTTAGGAATTGGTGTTGAAATTGATAAACACAAAGCATTTGTGTACTATCTCAAATCAGCTGAGGAAGGTAATTTGATGGGAATTTTTAAAACTGCCGTTTGTTATAGATATGGAATTGGTGTAGAAGAAAATTTTGGTGAATATGACAAATGGATTAATAAGTATGTTCATTTTTGATATTTTTTATTATAGTGTTTTGTAATTTGTTAATTTGTAATTGGGAATAACCTCACCAAACTTTAACTATCAGGGAGTAAGCGTTAAGATATTTTTTAATCTGCATATCTGATATTTAAGCTCATAATTGCTTATTATTTGTGTCAATTCAGCACGTAAGTACAAAAACCGTTTATTAAATTCTAGTAATAAACAAGTTCACAATACAAGAACATAAATACTTATTTACCTTTACGTACAAATCATTTCATTCGCATTAATTTAGTTAGTGAGTATAAAGAACATTCATTAATTTTAGAAATAAAAACAGCAAAAACAAGT